CTAGCTAGTTTACTTTGTATATTGTTTGAATTTAAATGAGAGATATTATATTTTATATAAGTTCAGTTTGAATTGGACAATTATATGCTATGCTAAACTCTTTGGATTGTATTTTTTCTATATAGGTTTGGAAAAGTTCAAAAAATGAATAGTATATTAAAAACAAGCACTTTTTATGCTAAGTGTGACCATACTTGTAATAAATAGTTCATATTCTATAGCAAGTGTAACATTACCCATCATAGAATGTCACACAATCTATGACAAGTAAAATCATACCCATCATAAAATGAAAGTGTCAATGTGATTAAAACATCACATTTTGTACCCATACTATGAGGGGCATGCATGTTGACCTGTCATATGTCACAAGTTGACCCATCATATGTATATACATTTTATGTCGTTGGAATCTATGTCGCATATAAGACTAACAACATTGAGGAAGATGATGATGATGATGATGATGAAGATTTCAATCTCTTTGTAAAAAGATTCCACAAATTCCTAAGGAATAGAGGAAATAGAAGAAAATTTAATTTCAACATAAAGAAGAAAGGAGAAGAATCTTCTTCAACCCCAAGGTGCTATGAATGCAATCAATCGGGACATTTGAGATTAGAATGTCCGATCCTTAAAAGAAAAATGGAAAAATCCAACAAGAAAAGCTTCAAAGAAATGAAAGGGAAGAAGGCTTATATCACTCGGGGAAGAAAATGACATGGATTCTTCAAGTGACTCTGAAAATGAAGTTGTAAATTTGGGACTCATGGCCAAAGATTACGAAAGCGAAGAAGAGGTAACATCTTCTAACAATGATATCTCAATTTCATTTGATGAACTTCAAGATGCATTCAATGATTTGCATAAAGAATCTTTTAAACTTGCAAAATTAGTATCATCATATAAGAAAACAATTTCAAACTTGGAAAAAGAGATTTCGAAATTAAATAATGAATTAGATGATCTTAAAACCGAAATTAGGATAATAAATTCTAAAGAAGAAAATCAAGAGATTAAAAATAAGTTAGAAACAAATAAAATAAATCATCCATGTTCAACTTGCAATAAACTTAAAGAAGAAATTAGTAACCTAAGTAACACTCTTGCAAATTTTACTGGTGGAAGAAATAACTTAGACATAATATTAGGAAAACAAAGATGTGTATTCGATAAGGCAGGATTAGGATATAATCCTCAAAGATTACAAAACAAATACAAAAATTTCTTTATACCCTCACAAGTTACTAGTTTTCCATTAACAACATGTTTTTATTGTGGTAAGAAAGGTCATAATTCATCAACATGCTATATTAGAAAGAATTTTAGCAATCTCAAGAATATGGTTTGGATTCCTAAAGGTTCTTTTGTTAATACTAACAATAAGGACCCACAGAAAACTTGGGTACCAAAATCAATCCATTCTTTGTCTTGAAAGATTCCAAAGACCAAACTTGGTACATTGATGTGAATGTTCCAAGCACATGATAGGAGATACTTTAAAATTCATTGACATTACTTCTAAGAAAAGTGGACATGTAACCTATGGAGACAACAACAAAGAAAAATACATGACATTGAAAAATAGGTACAAATTTAATAGGTACAAATTTCTCAACCTCCATAGAAAATGTCTTGTGGATGTTCTTAAACATAGTTTATCAAGTGAGTCAATTATGTGATAAAGGTTTCTCTGTATCTTTTGATTCACAAAAATGTCTTATTGAACATAAAAATTATGAACATGTTAAAATAATAGGATTTAGAGTAAAAAATGTATACAAGATAAAATTAGAGAAAAATATGAGTTATTCTCAATGACTTGAGTGAAGATGATGAATCATGGTTATGACATAAAAGAATTGCTCACATAAACATGGAACACTTAAATAAATTAATCTCAAAAGATTTAGAAATAGGATTACCAAAAATTAAATTTGAGAAAAATAAACTTTGTGATGCATGACAATAAAGGAATCAATTCATGTTATATTTAATGAAACTAACCTTGTTTGTCCAAGAAAAGATATTATTGATGATATTGTAGAAAGCTTTGAAGACACTTATATTCATGAGCAAACTCAAAAGGACAAAGAAGATGAAGGAATAAAGGATTCTATAAATCAAGAGAATCAAACAAACATGATTCCTCAAAGAGAGTTGAGAATCTCAAGAAATCATCCTCTTGAAAATATCATTGGAGACATATCAAAAGAGGTAACTACTAGATACTCTCTCAAAGAAGCATGAAATAATTTAGTTTTGTTTCTAAAATAGAATTTAAAAATCATTGATGAAGCCTTAAATGATGAACATTGGATAAATGTTATGCAAGAAAAGTTAAATCAATTTGAGAGAAATCAAGTATGGAAACTAGTCCCTAGACCATATAATCATCCAAATATTGGAACCAAATGGGTATTCAGAAATAAATTAAATGATCATAGTATAATTAAAAAAAAAATCAAAGCAAAACTAGTATGAAATTACACAAAAGATTTGGAATGAAAATTTTTGGCTTGCTCTTTACCTTTGGATTATTTTTGTTATTATATTCTTTTTGATGTTACCAAAGGGGGAGGGAAAGGACAACATTTATCTTAATCCTCTACTTAACTTTTGGATGTTGCCAAAGGAGGAGGGATAAGACCGCAAAGGAAAAGAAAATGTTTATTTTCTTTCTAACATTACTTTGGGCTAAGTTTGACTAAAATATTTTGACAAAAATATTCTTGATGTCCAATTTGTCACTTATGTTTTAAAATATAAACATTGATCTCTACAATCTTTTTCAAAACATAAGTACAACTCCTTTTATAACATAAAAGTAACTTCAGTCAATGTTTTACTAAGGGGGAGTTTAAGTGGGAGTGATCGAAATATATTATTTTATTTTCTTTCCCTTTACAGTGAATTGTCATCATCAAAAAGGGGGAGAATGTGGAAGAAAATATGCACAAATGTTTTGATGATGCCAAAGTGATTATAAAGCATTGAAGAAGAATCAAGGTTGAGTTAAAGCAAGTTGATGCAAGAACAAGATCTCAAGTGATACATAGATAAGTCTTGTCAACTTAGCTAAGTATGTAAAAGAATCTTTTAGAATTGCAAGTATGCTTGGCCTTGAGAATAAGTTTTCAAAAACCTCAAATTAATCTCTCTAAAATTAAGCAAGTTTTAAATCTTTTGAAAGTAAGTAAAAATGTTTTCAAAAGACTTAATAAAAGCTTTAAAGAATAGTTCAAATAATTTCTTAAAAGAGATTTGTGAAAGAAATTATTGATATAAAGTTTTCTACATAAAAGTTTGTGTAATAATGCAACAACATGCTCTGGTAATCGATTACCATCCCTTGTAATCGATTACCAGAAGAAGAAAACTTCTAAAGTTCAAAGTTCAAAATTGATAATTCAAAATGTGTTCTGGTAATCGATTACCAGACCCTTGTAATCGATTACCAGAAGATTCAAATTTAAAAATTTGAATTTAAATTATACAACGTTTCAAACATTTTGAACTTGAATCGTTGTAATCGATTACCAAGTATTGTAATCGATTACCAGAGCCTATTTTTTGAAAAATTATAGAAAGTTACAACTCTTCATGAAAAGACATAACCTATAAGAAACAATTGTCTATAAATACATATAATTTTTCAGAGGAAGGTGACGAACTCTATTGTGAAAATCATTTACAAAATCTACTTGGCATAAGTCATTTGCAAAAATTTCTAAAGAGTTCTTTAAGATCATAAAAGTGTAATATCCACTCTTCAAGAGAGTCATTTTGTAAAACTCAATAGATCATTGGATCTGTAAAGGAGAAAGGGTTTTTCTCCTTGTTGGTGTTTGCTCAACACAAGGAAAAGGAGTTCCGAGGTGTTGGAGGATTCAATTCTTGTAAGGTTTACAAGAGTAGTAGAAATCTCAAGTGGGAGACTTGAGGACAAGATGTAGGCAGGATTGGCCGAACCAGTATAAAATCAAGTTTGCAATTCTTTTTTCCCTATACTTTTATAATTTCTTGTTATTAATTGTGATTGTGTAGTTTGCATCATCATTCATTCTATACATATAAATTTATCTAAGGAATTAAATTTGATAAGAAAGTAATTGGAAAAGTTTTTAATAGATGAAATTTAGAAAACTTAATTCACCCCCCCTCTTAAGTTAATTGAGGCTAAGTGACTAACAACATGCAATGTATATATAGATCATGTTTGCAAATTTTTGTCTTATCATTTAATTACAATAATAACACCAAATTAACGGATAATCATAAAATTATTTTATATATTGATTTAAATTAATGAAACAAAATATCAAATAAATTTTAAATTTTTTAAAATTTTTAGATTTGATCTATGCATTAAGACTTTAAATTCAACGGTTGAATTGTTCAAATTTAATGTAGAACATAAGTTATTAAGTGAAGTAAGTCTACCTAGAATAAACGAATCTCTCCTTTTATATATATAC